CCTAAAATCTCCATTTTCCCATTAATCCCAGCATTTCCCAGTCCTAAAATCTCCATTTTCCCATTAATCCCAGCATTTGCCAGACCGAAATTCTGGATTTTCCCATTAATCCCAGCATTTCCCAATGCTAAATTCTGCATTTGCTATTAATCTCAGCATTTCCAAGTCCCAAATTCCTGTGACTCTTAAATTCTGCATTTTCCCATCAATCTCAGCATTTCCCAGTCCTAAAATCTCAATTTTCCCATCAATCTCAGCATTTCCCAGTCCTAAAATCTCAATTTTCCCATTAATCCCAGCATTTCCCAGTCCTAAATTCTGCATTTTCCCATTAATCCCAGCATTTCCCAGTCCTAAATTCCTGTGAGTCTAAAATTCCGTATCTTCCTGTTAATCCCAGATTTCCCAGTCCTAAATTCTAGATTTTCCCATTAATCCCAGCATTTCCAAATCCTAAATTCCTGTGACTCCTAAATTCTGCATTTTCCCATTAATCCCAGCATTTCCAACTCCTGAATTCTGAATTTTCCCATTAATCCCAGCATTTGCCAGACCTAAAATCTCCATTTTCCCATTAATCCCAGCATTTACCTAAAATCTCCATTTTCCCATCAATCCCAGCATTTCCAAGTCCTAAATTCTGGATTTTCCTATTAATCCCATCATTTCCCAATGCTAAATTCTGCATTTGCTGTGAATCTCAGCATTTCCAAGTCCCAAATTCCTGTGACTCCTAAATTCTGCATTTTCCCATTAATCCCAGCATTTCCCAGTCCTAAAATCTCCATTTTCCCATCAATCCCAGCATTTGCCAGTCCTAAAATCTCCATTTTCCCATCAATTCCAGCATTTCCAAGTCCTAAATTCTGGATTTTCCTGTTAATCCCATCATTTCCCAATGCTAAATTCTGCATTTGCTGTTAATCCCAGCATTTCCAAGTCCTAAAATCTCCATTTTCCCATCAATCCCAGCATTTCCAAGTCCTAAAATCTCCATTTTCCCATCAATCCCAGCATTTCCAAGTCCTAAA